CTGGCTACTTCCTTCCCTTTCCCAAGACTTACATTCTTATGTTCTCTATTGAGTCCCTCAATGGTTTCCTCTAGATCAGTGCATATCACTAGTAGGTCATCCCTTTCCTCTTCAGTAGATGCAACTTTTTCTTCTAAAGTGTGTTTCTCATTACTAAGACCTTGTATTGTTTCTTTTAGATCAACAACTACTACCATCAGATCGTCTCTCTCATTTTCCACACTAGTTATTTTTTTCATTCAGGGCCTCTTTCTCTTGTTCAAGATTAGCTATGGTCTCATTTAAGTCTTCTACACAGACCACTAGATCATCTCTAGATTGTTCAGCCTCTCCTAGTTTTATGGTCAGGATCTCCTTATCATTTACGAGACTATAATAAGTATAAATCAGGACATTTGATAAAGATCTTAGCTTCTTAGAAGAATAGGATTTCAGATTTCTCTGAACATCCCTGAAGTTTACCTCATCGTCTTCATCTTCTTCATCATCATCATCTGACTGACCCATCAGCGTGAACAGTAAATTGTACTTCGTTGCTTCAGTTTCCACTGCCATCATGGAACTATTTTCTGCATCTGATTTCCTTTCAGATTCACTTGAGGAGTCTTCCCAAGCAGCAAGAGCCTGCTTAACGATATTGTCTGCAACACTTTTTTGATTGAATCTTTTCTCTGGAACCAGGTTCCTTTTTCCTGCTTTGTCAGGATTTTGCTTGTACTGCTCCTGTTTCGCGAGTAGGCAGTCTTTGATGAAATGCCCTGACTTTCCACATCCGTGACAAAGATCGTTGTTCCTTGTTTTACTTGAACTGCCCCACTTTGGTATGCCACCATTTCTTTTTTTGAAATCTCTTAGTAAGATAGGCCATGTCACTATCTTCATCACTTGAATCACTCCTTTCAGCCTTAAGCACCAGGTTCTTTTCCTTCTTAGGCTCTCTTCTTTCACTGTCTTTATTTCTTTTCATCTCGTATATTTTCAGATTACCAATCAACTCATCCATGGTCAGAGTCTGTAGATCTTTAGCTTCAGTGATGGCATTTACCTTACTTTCCCAAGACCCAGGTAGAACACTGAAAATTTTCCTTACAAGCTTGTTTCTGGGAATGACATCTCCAAGTGAGTGAAGCTCATTTATGACGGAGGTGAATCTGGTGTGCATATCTTGTATGCACTATCATCCTTAATCCTGAAGAGCTCATATTCAGTGGTGAGCATGTCTATCTTGGATTGTTTGACCTGAGTGGTTCTTTCGTGTGCAGTTTGTAAGGCTTCCCATATTTTTTTGGCAGTATCACAAGTTGATACTTTGTTGTACTCATCAGGTCCTATGCCACAAATCAAGATTTTTTTGGCATGATAGTTCTTTTCTATAGCTTTTTTGTTAATGTCACTGTACTCTCTTCTCCCTTTGGGTACCAATGGTCCTATTTCTTCAAGTTTCTTCATGGGAACATGAGGACCATCACAAATAATGTCCCACGACTCTGAATCTTCGGCCATCATGAAATCATGTATCTGAGTCTTCCACCAGTCGTAGTATTGACCATTGAATCTGGGAGGTTTATAGGTTGATTGTACTTCTTCAAAGTTTGGTGGAGCAGCCATTTAGGATCCTTCCTAGGTGTTAGCCTGATAGGAGGAACCTGCTCTAATACCAATTGATAGCTTATATGAGTCCACCAAACTGTACAGTACCTGATCCTCTATGAGACTGATACGTAGAATGCAGTAAAGATTGAATGTAAAGAAGGCAAGAGATTTTCTACGTGGAAAAATCCCACACAAGGGGATCAAAAAACCACAACCTACTCTTGTAGGCTTTTAACTCAACTAAATTGTAATCTACCTATTACAAGCCACTTTGCAAACACCCTATTGCAAAGACTTCAAACTAACTTATGATGCAACCACCATAAGCCACTCTCTAACTCTCCTAATTACAGAGGATTTAACTTATGACTATTCCTAGTCACAACATAAACTCTAAGGTTTACGAATTTGGTTTGTTCCTAAGATAGCGCTTCTGAGAAAGTAAACTAGGAATTACTATGTAGAACAATTAACAAGATTACAACTCAACTATGGATGTACATAAGACTTGTTTAGAAACTGATCCTTAGTGGAGTTAACTTCTTGTTCTTGACATACCAGTGACTTCAATACCGGATGAATGCTTTTTCTTCTTGAGAGAATATCACTGAATACACAAGTGATGGTGTGTCTTGCACCAGGTTGTTTTATCACAAACGATATCACAAAAGATAGTGATGTCAACTCTTGGTGTACTTCTTCCCAGTGAGAAGTGACTTCTGCACTGTCTACACAGCCACTTCTGGGCAGTTACGTTCCAGCTGGATAGTGGACTTTGTACTTTTGTTAGGACATACCAATGGACCAGGTCCTGGTTGTATTCCTCTTTTATAACAGTTGCCCGATGGTCACTTTCTTCTACTACGTTCCAGCTGTGCACTTGACTTGTACTTCTGTCAGAGAACCCTAAGGGACCAGGTCACCAGGTCCCTATTGTGTTTCTCTCTGTGGTCGTTCGTCCATTTGCTAACAAGTTCATATGAAATGTATCCTGTGGAATAGATTCTCTATCTGGTTCTTCACAATAAGTTTGTTAGATCATCAAAACATAAGAAGCATAAGGCTAAGATATTGAAAACCCATCAATAGATCTGAAAACCAAATACTGAAATTAGGAACAAGTAAGAAGACAGTCGATTGCACATAACTCACTCTAGAAGAAAATATAGGTAAACTAAAAGATGAGTTGTATAAGAAGGATGAGCAGGTAAGAATTTGAAGGAGGATCTTTGCAAGGTCAAGCATGAACTAGACAGAACTTATAAATGGAACAGGTCCTCCGATGCACTTTCATGGCTGCAGGACATCATAGTGGCAATAGAAGAGGACTTGGCTTTGGGAATCTGCCACCTAAATGGGATCCCAAAAGCAAGTACCTTAAATTTCCTGAGAATAAGATTTGTACTCACTATGGTGAAACATGTCACTATAAAAGTGAATTCAATGCAAAAGAAAAGGGAATCCAAAAGAACAGTGAATTTGTTCAAGGGAAGAATAGGCTACCAAGTTGGGCTAAAAAGAATTTGATTCATCCTTTTGCCTATAGAAAGGGACCCAAACTAGTTTGGGTTCCTAAGACAAACCCGTGATTTTCTTTTGCAGGTCCAAGTGAAGGGGAGCAGCCAAATATGGTACATGGATAGTGGTTGTTCAAAGCATATAACAGGAAACAAGAACCAATTCATTTCACATGAGGACCTCAAAGGAGGTAATGTCTCCTTTGAAATGGCAAGAAAGGTGAGATCATTGGGGTTGGAAAAGTAGGTAAGCCTGATTCTCACTCTATTGAGAATGTCTACTTAATAGATGGCCCAAAATATAGTCTAATCAGTATATCACAACTGTGTGATAGAAGTAACTTGGTAACATTCACCTCTACCAAATGTTTTGTGATAAATCTTACCATTAACAAGATTGTTTTGCAGGGAAAAAGAGTGAACAATGTATATATATTGTAGATCTGCCCACACTTTCAAAAAATGAACTCACTTGCTTAAGTGTGTTGGACAATGATCCCCTCCTTTGGCACAAGAGACTTGGGCATGCAAGTCGGAGTCAACTCAACAAATTAGCCTCCAAGGACCCGGTGGTAGAGTTGCCTAACATCAAGTTCAAGGAAGACAAAGTTTGTGAGGCTTGTGCAAGGGGCAAGCATGTAAGTTCTTCTTTTAAATGCAAGAAAGTGGTAAGCACCACCAGGACAATAAAACTAGTCCATATGGATCTTTGTGGTCCAATGATAACATTAAGCAGAGGTGGTAAGAAAATATGTGATGGTTCTTGTTGATGATTACTCTGGTGATAGCAAACTCTAGTTTTCCTAAGAGGGATGAGCATTTGATTACTTTCCAAAGTAAGGTGGCTAAGACTCAGATTGATTACCTCCTTCTCAGGAGGAGTGATAAAGGTCTATGCAAGGATTGCAAAGTTATCCCAAGTGAGTCCCTCGCGACACAATATAGGCTCCTAGTGATGGACATCAACATCATAATAAAGAAGAAAAAGCAGGTTATCTGGAGTTGTTCGAGGATAAGGTGGGGAGCTTTGTCGAAGGATAAAACACCGGAGTTGGAGAGGAAGTTGATGGATATGAGGTCCTGGAAGAGTAGTGGGGACGCGAGTGGCATGTGGACAATGACGGCGAACTATATTAGGGAGGCCGCGAAGGAGGTGTTAGGGGTCTCGAAGGGTTACTCTGGGGGGCACAGAGGGGATTGGTAGTGGAATGAAGAGGTTCAAGGAAAAGTGGAGGCTAAGAAAGTCGCATACTTGAAGTTAGTGGAGAGCTCCGATAAGGAGGAGAGAAGAGCGAACAAAGAAAGGTACAAGAAGGCTAGGAAGGAGGTGAAAATAGTGGTCACGGAGGCAAAAAATGCAGCGTTTGGTCATTTGTATGAAGAATTAGGGGGCAAAGGTGGGGACAAGAAATTATTTCAGCTGGACAAGGTGAGAGAGAGAAAGGCGCGTGATTTGAATCAAGTAAGGTGGATCAAGGACGAGGATGGCAGAGTTTTAATGGATGAGGCTCAGATTAAGCAGTGATGGCAGACTTACTTTCACAAACTTCTGAATGAGGAGGGGGACAGAGACATTGTGTTGGGTGATTTGGAGCACTCCGAGAGTCACCATGATTTTGGGTATTGTAGACGTATTAAGTTCGAGGAGGTCGTGGGGGCTATGCATAAGATGAGTAGGGGCAAAACGACTAGGCTAGTGAAATTCCGGTTGAGTTCTGGAGGTATATGAGTAGAGAGGGCATAGAGTAGTTGACGGGATTTTTTAACATTATTTTTAGGACGAAGAAGATGCTAGAGGATTACGACGATTATGTTGTACAAGAACAAAGACGATATTCATAATTGCAACAACTATAGGGGTATTAAGTTTCTTTGTCATACTATAAAGGTATGGGAGAGGGTGATGGAAGCAAGGGTGATGAGATCGGCATCTATATCAGAGAACCAATTCGGTTTCATGTTTGGCCGTTCAACTATGGAAACTATCCATCTCATCAGGAGGTTAGTGGAACAATACAAGGATAGGAAGAAAAATTTACACATGGTATTTATTAACCTAAAAAAAGCATACGATAAGATCCCGAGAGAGGTTCTTTGGAGGTATTTAGAGGCTAAAGGTGTTCCGATGGCGTACATTAGGGTGATTAAAGACATATATGACGGAGCTAAGACTCGGGTTAGGACAATAGGAGGTGACTCGGAGCATTTTCCGGTAGTTATGGGGTTGTACCAAGGATCAGTACTCAGTCCTTTCCTATTTGTCTTGGCGATGGACACGCTAACACACCATATTCAGGGAGAAGTTCCATGGTGTATGTTATTTTCTGATGATATAGTCCTGATTGATGAGATGCGATGCGGTGTCGACGAGAGGCTATAGGTTTGGAGACAGACCCTAGAATCTAAAGGTTTCAAGTTAAGCGGACTAAGACAAAATACTTGGAGTGTAAGTTCAGTGACGTAACGGGAAAGAGGATAGTGACTTGAGGCTTGATTCACAAGTCATCCTCAAGAAAGAGTGTTTTAAGTATCTTGGGTCTATTATCCAGGGGAATAGGGAGATTGATGAGGATGTCACATACCGCATAGGGGAGGGATGGATGAAATGGAGGTTAGCATCTGGCATCTTGTATGACAAAAAGGTGCCATCGAAACTTGAAGGAAAGTTTTATAGAGCGGTGGCTAGACCGGCTATGTTGTATGGGGCAGAATGTTGGCCAATCAAGAACTCACATATCGAGAAGATGAAAGTAGCAGAAATAAGGATGTTGAGGTGGATGTATGGGCTTACTAGATTGGATAAGATTAGGAATGGGTATATTCTAGCTAAGGTGGGGGTGGCGCACATAGATGACAAAATGCGGGAAGCAAGGCTTAGATAGTTCGGGTACGTACGGAGGAGAAGCCTTGACGCCCCGGTTAGGAGGTGAGAGCGGTTGGCTTTGTCAGGTGTGAAAAGAGGTAGAGGGTGGCCTAAGAAATATTTGGGAGAGGTGATCATGCAAGACATGGTGCGACTCCAGCTCACCGAGGACATGATCTTAGATAGGAAGGCTTGGAGGGCGAGCATTAGGATCGTAGGTTAGTAGGCAGTTGAGCGTCTTTCTTCCCTGTTGATGGTATTAGGATAGCTTGTAGTGTCTTGCTTTAGATTGTTAATGGTACTTGTTGTGTTTGTACTGTTTTCTGCTCAGATTGCCTAGTACCTTTTCATTATTCTTATTATTGATATTGCTTTTTCTGTTTATTTTTCTGATTCTTAGGTTGCTGGCACTGTCTCTTGACATATGTGGTTGCTATTGTTGCCTATTTTCATCTCCTTGTGCCAAGGGTCTTTCGGAAATAGCTTTTCTACCCTTCGGGGCAGGGGTAAGGTCTACGTACACACTACCCTCCCCAGACCCCACATGTGAAATTATATTGGGTTGTTGTAGTTGTTGTTATTGCTTGTTGATGATTACTTTAGGTTTACTTGGACATTGCATATAACATCTAAAGATGAAGCATTTGACATGTTCATTTCTTTTGTTAGAAAAACTCATAACAACTAGGTAATCAACTTGCTTCAATTAGGTCTGATCATGGCACTAAATTTGAAAATGCTAAATTTAATAAATTTTGTGATAAGCATGGCATAGATCATAACTTTTCTACTCCTAGGACTCCACAACAAAATGGAGTAGTTGAAATAAAGAATATGACACTTGAAGATATGGCTAGGACTATGCTTCTTTCTAGTAAACTACCTCATAGCTTCTGGGCAGAAGCTGTAAATACTGCTACATCATAAATAGGTGCATGACTAGATCTCTTGTAGAGAAGACTCCCTATGAGTTACTTAAAGGGAGAAAACCAAACATATCTTATCTTAGGGCATTTGGATGCAAGTGCTTTGTGCAAAACAATGGTAAAGACTCCCTAGGTAAGTTTGATCCCAAAAGTTATGAGAGAATATTCTTGGGATATTCTTCACATAGTAAATCTTATAAGGTCTATAACAAAAGAACTATGCGTGTAGAAGAAAGTGTTCATGTGGTTTTTGATGAAACTAACATTCTTTCTGAGAGATAGGAACATGATGATGAAGGAATTGGACTGGTAAGAGACTCAAATGAAACCACAACCCAGACTAAAGTTGCACCAAAGGAAGGAACATGTGATGGAATAGGTTCTTCTATCCAGGGCAACCTGACAGGGGGAATTGAACAAAGAGGAACTGATTCTCAAACCTCAAGGGAACCTGTCCATGAACATGTTCCACAGCAACAAAACATTAAATGAACATCAAGAGGAAACTAGTTGGTTGTGAAAGCTTACAAGTATCAAAGTTCTAATACCATTGAGAACATAATCCTTGATCCAACCTCTGGAATCAAAATCAAATCTCTTGGTATGAAAGATTATAAAAAATTTTGCTTGAGCATGACTACAAGAGAGGTAAAATTGATAGTACTTTGTTCTTGAAAGAAAAAAGTAAAGATCTCTTGGTAGTTCAGATATATATATTGATGATATAATCTTTAGAGCAACCTCTGATAAGTTAAGTAAAGAATTTGCTAAATTAATGGGGAATGAATTTGAAATGAGCATGATGGGTGAGCTTAATTTTTTTGGCTTACAAATTAAACAAAATTTAAATGAAACTATGATCTATCAGCAGAAGTATGTAAAAGAGTTGCTTAAAATGTTTAAAATGAAATATTCCAAAGAAATTGACACTCCTATTGCAACAGCTACAAAGTTGGATATAGATGAACCTGGTTCATCTGTTGATCAAAAGTTGTATAGGGGAATGATTGGTTCATTGTAGTATCTCACTGCTAGTAGACCTGACATTATTTTCAGTATAACCGTTGTGCAAGATTTCAGGCGAATCCAAAGGAGTCTCACTTGACTGTTGTTAAGAGAATTTTGAGATATCTAAAAGGCACCACTGATCTTTGTCTATGGTATCCAAAAGGTAGTAATTCAATCTAGTGGGATATGCTGCTGATGATTATGCAGGTTTTCTTGTGGATAAAAAGAGTGCCTCTGGTATGGCAAACTTTCTTGGCTCATGTCTTGTGTCTTGGGCCACCAAAAAGCAAAATTTAGTGGCCTTATCTACTGCTGAAGCTGAGTATATTGCTCTTGCTTCATGTTGTGCTCAATTGCTGTGGATCAAACATCAATTAATGAATTTTAGAATTGATGTTGGTTGTATCCCTATCTTTTGTGATAACACCAGTGCAATTAGTATGACCAAGAACCCGGTTCATCACAAGAGAACTAAGCACATAAATGTTAGGCATCACCTTTTGAGGGATAACTATGAAAATGGTTTGATCACTATGGAATTTTGTGCTACTAACAAGCAAATAGCTAATATCTTCATAAAGCTCTAAGTAGAGATCACTTTAAAAGGAACAGATTAGAATTATGGATAATTCACCTAAAAGAGCCAGTTCAAAATTTCACAGTCGGAAAAAAAATGATATTTTTTGGTTAGAAAATGTGTAGTTTGTACATAATTAGATTAGATTTTGCTCAGTCTCATATTTTCAATAGTATACTCTTGTGCCATGTGCTAAAATAACTCATTAATCTCTAATGAATTTTTTTTTTCTATTATTGAAAAATTTAGACTTACACAAGATAAGCTTCAGTGAAGAACCTGGTTCATCAAAGTCAATAGGTATATTTTCTACACTCTGCATAATTTGAAATAATTATATTTGGATCATAAGTAGAGTCCTACCTAATTCCAAATCCCTTTTGGACTTATCCATTACAAGTGAACCAGTTCCGTTCAAAAGAATCCCAACCGAATTGAAGTACCTAGATTTTAGGGATACACTCTAACGTCTCTTCAAAACTGAATTTTAGTTTGATTAGACTTCTAAAAGTATGAAAAGCTATCTTTACCTCATTAATTACTCCTCTTTAAATTGATCAGCTTTAGTGTATTCCTTACTTCATCTCTCTCAAGCCGTCAAAAACTCTCAATCTTCTTTCATCTTCCAAATATAATCTAATTCTCTTCTCTTCCATACCCAAGCACAGAAATGGCTAACAATCCTGAAAACCCTTCATCACCACCACAAGAAACCACTTCCACACCCACTATTACTCGTTCCAAAACCCCAACCTCTAAGAAAAGAGTAAAAATGATGGCTCGCAAGATTGTTGCTGGTGAAGAAAATATTCAGAAAATTAATGAACAACTGAAAGCGAGTAAGGAGGAAGAATATCAGAAATCTGATGAATCCTTCAAATCTCTACTGAAGGGGAAGAAAATTTTCATACGAAACTGAACAGGTATCTTCTGGTCCTAAAGTTACTCCTGAGACAATTTTTAAAGTTGCTGCAAATTTGGAGAGCAGATTTGTACTGGTAGGGTCTATAGCACGTGTTGAAACTACAGCGCCTGAGAAGCTGGTGGTAAAAATAAAAAATAAAAATAAAAAGATAGAAAGGGTGTTAGAAGTGCTGTGGGGGGAAAGGGTAAAAGGGTGGTTGATTCTCCACCCACTCTTGTTAGTTTAACCAAAGACACATGTGCAATGGTTGATTGGGGAGAGAAATCTGGTGGAGTAGAGAAGAGCGTAAAGAAAACATCAATTGTTGGGTCTGGCGAAGCCGCTGAAGGGCTTGTTCAACTTGGGAAAAATATAGATGAACCTGTTTCATCTGTAGAGGAAACCCTCGCAGACCTACTGAAGAAAGTGACTGAAAGCTATAATACAAACAAGAAAGGGAGTTCAAAGGCTAAAACCCCTGGCACTGCTAGGGAAAACAAGAAAAGGGAGGCTGGTCTTTCTATTACTATTAAAATTCCCCCCACAAGAGGAAGAGCCACAAGAATCCAGCTAAAGCAAAATGAGGCAGAACTACAGAAAGCCTTAGGAGAAAGTAGAAGAAAAGCAGTTGCTAAGGGAAAGAAGATGTTGGATAAGCCTGTTGAGGCTGTTGACATAGATGAGATGGACCTGGACCTTCAAGATGAAGATAAGACTAGAGAAGTGGTGGTTCTGACTCCCAAATCCAAGAAAGCCAAGACTTCCACTAAGAAGTCTATTTCAGAGTCAAAGTCTGCTGAACCATCCACCTTGGCAAAAAGAACAAGGTCTGTTGTGAAGTCAAAACAAGTGAAAATGGTTGAGGAAGAAGAATGGAGTAGAGAGGAAGAATATGATTTTGAGAAAGACAAGATGGCCAAGTTTGGCAAGAGAACTATTTTGAAAGGAAGACTCCTTAGAGACTTGGAGGAGCAAGGAATGGTGTTGCTATTGGAGAAGTTGGAGTTGTAAGGCTGGAAAGACATGGTCCTTCAGATGGATGGCAGGTTGGCCAGGAATGAAATTATTGAGTTTATGGCAAATGCTGAGGTGAAAATGAAAGGGTTACTAGTATGGTGAAAGGAGTGAAATCTCTTTCGATGTGAAGGAGTTGGGAGAAATTCTTGGTATACCTGCTGAGGGGTACAATGACTATACAAAGCTCAAGCGGCCAAACCTAGAAAATTTTCCTACTTCCCTGACCATTACCAGAAAATTCAGTGACAATGAGAAGGAAATTGAGCCCAAGGCTGTGTACAAGAGTGAGATGAAGTCACCCAACAAGGTGTTGTTCAAATTTGTCAACAAATACATTCTGCCAAAGCAGGAAAGGAAACACATTGCAAACTTCATGGACTTGGTTCTGATGGAGTGTTTGGATGTGGGAGGCAGATTAATTGGCCTGAATTTATTATCCGGCTTCTTGATAGGGTTATAAATGGAATCAATACTTATACCATTCCCTATAGCTTCATTCTCACAGCGGTACTTGCACATTTCAAGCTACCTATGAAGAAGTGGGAGGTTGGTACGAGCAAGGATGATTTTGGGGCAAATACTTTGCTTGCTTGTGACTATAAAGTCCATGCCACTCCTAAAGAACCTGGTTCATCCAAGAAGGTACCAGTGAATTTCAAGGTGCGTGCCTTAATGCAAGAAAGTGGGGCTAAGGATGATGAGATTGAGAAGCTGAAAAAGAGGTTGGTTAAGGTGGAGACTAGGAGAGATGCTCTCAGAACTGAGCTGGCAAGAGAAAAGGAGAAGAATTATGGCATTCTTCGGAATATGCTGAAACTCCTCCAAGCCAAAAACCAAGCACCTGGTCCTTCCCAGCCTTAAGCCTCCTAGCCTAGTGTAGATCAACCAGTGACCCAGTTCAAAAAAAATTTTATTTTTGTTTTTTGTTCATGTTTCCAGTGTTTTTATTTCTTATTATGCTTTGTGGTAGAATCTTATCAATTATCAAT